TGGTGATGCCCCAAGGGCTGTCAAATGCACCAGCAACATTTAATCGTCTTGTTACGCAATTATTCAGGCCCCACAGGGCGTATGCACAGACATACTTTGACGACTTTTTTGTTCACAATCGTGCGGAGCACGGGGAATGTGTGGATGAGGAGAACCACATCGTCCATTTAAAAGCGGTGCTCGAGTGCATACGCACGAACAAACCGTACGCCAATGCAGACAAGTGCATCTCTGGCGCAGAAGAGATTCTCTTTTTAGGGTACTTCATTGGGAAGCGTGGCCTTCGAGCGGATCCCGCTAAGGTCAAGGTTATTGTAGACTGCCCGGTTCGAAAGAACAGAAGGACTTGCGTAAGTGCCTTGGCCTCGCCAACTACTTGCACAAGTACAGCGATAATTATGGAGAAATGGCACGGCCATTTTTGAATCTCCTTAAAAAGAATGCGGAATGGTGTTGGGACGCCTAACATTGGAAGGCTTTTACAGGGTCAAGACAGCCTCCTGTATGCATCAATGCTGGCGCTGCCAGACCCTGGTTGTCTTTTCAGCGTAGTCTCTGACGCTTCGGACTTTGCCATCGGCTGTGCACTGCTGCAAGCAGACGCCTTGGGGCGAGGTCGGGTGATCGCGTTTAAATCTCGACAGCTCAAAGCTGCGGAGAAGAACTACCCAGTTCACACAAGGTATTACTTGCGATGAAGTATGCACTTGTCAAGTTCAGGGTTCACCTGCTCGGCTCAAGCCATTTGTGATCTACACAGATCATGCGTCACTACGCACTGCGACTTAGTCGTCTCACTTTTCGCAGAGAATGGCTAGGTGGCTCTTCTTCTTTGCAGAATATAATTTCCAGGCGATGTATAAGCCAGACAAGCAGAATGCTTTAGCTGATGCGCTGTCACGCAGCCGGATTATGAGCCTGCTCATGTCATGACGGTGACGTCGTCTGTGACGGATTTGATCCGCGCCGCGTACGCCGGTGGTGATACGTGCGTAGAGCTACTACGTGCTCTTGGAAGCAAGGAGTTTGGACACTCGAACTAGACGTTGTCGTCGCGACTGCGCGCATGTTTGCACCGATATTCATTGAATAATGGATTGCGGTATCACAGCACCGACTCGACGGATACGCCACGAATTGTGATCCTCACGATGAGGATTTGAGGTATTGTAATCTTAATGAGGCCCATGACACCCATCTCAGTGGTCATCTCGGTCTTGAGAAGACCTAATGCTCTGTGAGTTGCCACTACTGGTCTCGAGAAGACCTACGGCTCTGTGAATTGCCACCACTAGTGGCTAATACTATGCAAATGAACGAGCACCTATCTGCGCACGTGTGAGACGTGTCAGAGGGTAAAACCCTATCCGAATGCGGCGATGCCGCTGGTCAGTTTACCGGTATCCTCCACGTGTTGCAGTCCATGAGTATGGGCTTTGTGTTTGGTCTGCTAAAGGACTCGGCGGGCAACACGTGTGTGGTTTGTCTTTGTAGACCGTTTGAACAAGATGGTTCATCATGCAGCACTGCCGGACACCATCCTCGGTGTGAATACAGGGCCGCTGTTTGTGAATCGTTTCTTTTGACAACATGGACTTCCGGAGTCAATTGTATCTGACAGAGACCCACGATTTCCTAGGAAGTTTTGGTCTACATTATTCAGGGTGCTGGGCACCAAGTTGACTATGTCAACAGCGGACCATCTGCAGACCAATGGTCGTACTGAGTGCATTAATAACGCCGTCGTAACGGTCCTTCGCAGTATCTGCGCTGAGCCTTCAAGGCGCTGGAGCGCCATGTTGCCACTTGTAGCATTCGCTCTGAACAATGCAGTGCATTCGTCCATCGGCTACACGCCGTTCCCCGTAAACGGGCTCGTTCGTCCTCGCGTCCCGCTGACGCCGCCGTCCCATGGTTCAGTGCTTGGCAGGGGGAAATAGCCGAGCAGCTAGCTGATGTCATCTATCTCACCGAGCGTAAAGAAGTCGATGACTTCCGGTCTACCAGACTGAGTGTCTTCCGACACGGCCGCGATGCAATGGATGAAAGCCAAGACATGCAGAATGAATATGCAGACGGAAGAGGTAAAGGAAATGTTGAAAACTTTGAGGCCGGAGACCTGGTTAATTCAATGCTGAAAATCTTTCTACCCATGCAGTTTCTGCTGTCTTCAAGACGAAGCTCCGTCCACGGCTCATCGGACTTCTCAAGGTTGTAGGCAAGCGGAGCCTTGCGTATACGCTAAACCTTCCGCACCGGATGCGCACCCATTCAGCGTTCTATGTGAGCTTGCTCAAGCCGTACCGATCCCGCGCTGGTAAACGCGGAAGCGTTGGTATCGAAACGGCGCTCACAGGCGCTCGATCGTCCAGAAGCTGGACTAGCAACTAATGTTGAGCACAAGGCGCAACAATCACCTTCTCCGACGGACCTAAGCGATCCACCCTCGTATGAAGCGACACATTCGTCTGCTCAACGGCTAGGAACTAATTCGACATAGCGCGATACGCCTCAACGTGAGGCAGACGGTGCACAACATGCTCCAAGCTCTCTAGGTCTTCCGCGCAGCGGTATGCGATTCCAGCATGCTCAGCGGTGTCCTGATCACGACGGACCTTGTTCTCAAGAGCTCGAAGAGCTTCGCGAGTCACCGAACGGCGATCGACCCAGTCGTCATCGTCCACTGCCGACTCTTCTCGACGAGAATTGCGGTGTCCACTATCACATGGAATGTATTGTGGGTCGATGTCGTCGCCAGGGTCAAACTCAGTATCTTGTGAATTCGGGAAACCCCGACTTTGAGAACTCGCGGGAGTTTGAGTGCCACTTCGGCAAGACTGCCCAAGACGTCATGGACGCTTATGATCAGAGAGATTATGACGCTCCGCGTCATCGTACACCCGCATTTCTCAGATACATTTAGGGAAGCCGAAGGGACATGAGCTGAGCTCAAATTATGGCCCTCAGCTGTTGCGGTCGCAGACTCATCCGTATGAGAGACCACAGAGCTCGCGGGGGCGTGATGGATCAACCGATACGTCGCATGCGATAATCACATGCCGTCCGAGTTGCACCACGTGCAGGGGACGAAAAAAGGGCTCTGCCCGCGGGCGCTCTCGGTGCCAGCGAGCACTTCTACTGGATACGTTCCATAAAGGTTGAAGCTCCGTACACCCACAATCTGTTATCGGTTGAAGCTGAGGTTCAACCGCAGTAAACCCTTGACTTATAAATTAGGTACCCAAGGTTTTATTTGTAAAACCTCTAGAAGCCCTCGGAGTGTCTTGCGAACCATAGCATACTTTTAGTTCAGCTGTAAATTTGCCTCAAGGGGCTTAAATCGTTCCTCATACCCACAAGTCGGGACTGTTCTTCTATTTCCATGTCGGGAACCGCTTCTTCGTCGCACAAGCGTGTGTTGTATTTGAGGGACTGTTTGTGTACAGCGCCCTCTTACACAAACCTGTTAAGCTTAACTTCTCCGCACGGTCGGTGTAAAAATGCTGACTTGGCAGCTCCGTTAAAAACATTCTAAGTACAGTCATGACATTACTCTTCTACTTGCGACTTACATTCTCATATCCTCACTCAGTCTTTTTAGTAGACCGCCTTCAGACTCATGTTCACGCACTGACAGCAGCGAAACGAGCGATCTTGCTCAGGCGGCTCACAAAGACTCAAAAGTGTATTTCCTGAACGCGACTATTGAAAGACCAAGGATAGAAATCACACTGACGGACGTCTGCACCCTACTGGAACACAGTGCAGACATTTCTAGGTGTGGAAGCTGGCCAAAGATTCCTTCGCACGTGGTGACAATTTAACTAAGCCAAGACCTGAGACCGCGACTCACAGTCACTCACTTACGCCTATCATGGCTATTTTTTAGGACCCAAACTAGTATTGGTGGAAGCAGTACCTGCCCCCCGCAAGACCACTTTATTAAGCGTCAAGCTCATCTAGGACAAGGACGGGGACAATCTCGACGTCTGCATCCATGCAATTCCAGTAGTACTACTGAGGAACACTGAGTTGTATTCGTCTTGTACCCGTATGTGCCGCGAAACTCAAGTCATGCGCTTGCGAGATAATTTCTCCTCTGCGGGTTGGATCGCTTGGTACACCCAGTCTTTGCACCTTGTTCTTTTTCGCAAAGAAGTCAAATACACCGCTGAAGGTGAATGAATACCTGTCCATCTTTTGAAAGTTTTGGAAGGATCGAATCTGTCTTGTGACTTTGGTGAAACCTCTCTTCAAAATTTACATCCATCTCTATCGTGTTGTACAATATATGTTATGAATGGTTGATCACGTGACGTTGAGAGGTTCACACGACAACTTTTAAGAACATATTCTCTCGGGAAAGAAGAGTAACAAGAGTTATTACCAGGTAAACCTTTGATAACCGTCACATTGACGTGACGTTGCTGACAATGTTCATATAACCACAGGAAGTGGTTCATTGCTGTCACAATAACATCCTTTCTTTTTTGACACAAGAAATTCTATAACGAATCGTAGACCAACAATCTTTGTTTGTAGCGATCGGTATCATCTTTCCGTTGGCTGTCAAACTGGTTGTCTTATATCGACTACAAGTCTAGCATTTCGACACGTATAATGCAGCGGGGCTGTCGTAGCTTTGCGCTTCGAGGAAGCGTAAGTCAGGCCACCAACCTTTCGTTTCATACTTAGAACAAGTACGAGTTTAGCGGATCGCAATCCGCTTACTCAAAGAGTAACTATTGCCTTCCCAAGGCTAAATAACTCTTCCGTTTAAATTCAATGCTGGCTTTAGTTATTTTCATCTGCGGCAAAGCCGCATGTATAGATTTTCCTAAATATAAATAGTAAAATGTAACAACCTGCATAATTACTGGCTACCCAGCCACGTACCGTATTCTTACTTGGGTGCAGTCACACCATGCCCATCTCGTGTGACCCCCCCCCTTTTACCAGGGTTGTTGTGGCCATGATATCGGCCGTATTGCAGTCGAAACACCAGTTCGTTCCGTTAGCAGACTTCGACCTTAAGGACCGCGCGCGAGAATGATCACTGCCAGCCGTACTTCTACAACAGAGGTATCAACAACATTGGAAGTGTTGAAATGTCGCTAGGAACTTAATTTGCTGTTCTTTTACTAATTTTGATACACATTAAGGACGATGTCAGACTGGAATCAATCAGGTCTCCTTTTCTATTTACAATAATAAAACCTATTCGACGGACATATCTCATCCACACCAATACAAATCATAACATTTTTCTGAGGACAATATTGTAATGTAAAGGTACACCAGGTTAGCGCCACAAATTTGAAATGTGACAAAAAACAAGTATGCTACCCATTATATACATTCAAAGATTGGATCACACTATCATGATGTTCGATTCTATAAAATGTTAGAAACCTGAATAATGCAAGAATTTCGTGCTTTTAGCCGTCTATAAATTCATTGGCAGCTTCAAAACGTTATTTGCTCTTGAAGCTCAGGAAACATGCAATGCACAAAAATGTCTTCACCGGTGCTTTCACCAGCATCACAGTGTTCTGCATCAACCGATTCCGAAGATTTATCACTTGACGATAATCAAATTTCATTTAGCACTAAAGATGTGCGCGTGCAACCAATAGAGATGTCTATGAAGCCGAGAAAGGACGAGAGTGTCCGCGTTGCTGTGCGTATCCGGCCCATGCTACCTCGCGAGCTTGCTCACAATGCCGCTACGTGCGTGCACAAGTCCAAAGAGGCAGCGAATACCATCGTGTTAAATGACGGAAGTGAGCGAATCTACACGTAAATATCTATTTATCTCACCTTTCCATATCCATATTTCATAAAACGTTAATATGCTTTGACTGCTAGATTCGACTATGTATTTCCACAATCAGCAAATCAATTAGAACTGTACAATGAAGCTTTGGATCCATGGATGGCGTCGTTTTTGCAGGGATTTAACGTGACAGTCATTGCCTATGGACAAACGGGGTCAGGCAAGACACACACGATGGGGAACCACGTGCATTCTATGATGAGCAATAATGTACTTTTGAGCTCCTTGTCGTTTACTGATGATCACGAGGAATTGGCTGATAATTTGGATGACGACGAAGGTCTGATTCCTCGCTTTCTGTATCAATTGTTCTCTAAGTTAAAAGACCATGATAGCAAATACCAGTTGTCTGTATCATTTCTGGAAATTTACGGAGAGGATATTTACGATTTACTTGATAGTTCTAGAGCTGATCGACGGTCAGAATCCCTGCAGTTGAGAGAAAGTAAAAAAAATGGCGTGTGGGTACAAGGACTGACTGAAGTGTGCATTTCGACTCGTCGAGAAGCATTACAACAAATGCGTCGTGGATCGATGCAAAGAATTACTGCCACTACTCAGATGAATGAAAGGTCGAGTCGATCTCATGCGGTTTATACGGTAAAGCTCGTCCAACGCGTGTCGGAACAAAAAGCAGTCGGAAAATCATCCAAATCAAGTGACCAGCAAAAGGGAAAGTCTGTGAAGTGCACAATTGTTGACATGCGTGATGGTGAAGCTGCAGAACAAGAAGCAGTGATCGTTTCAAAACTTACCTTTGTGGATTTAGCAGGTAGTGAGCGCCTTAAAAAGACCCGGGCAGAAGGTGAACGTATGAAAGAGGGAATTCAAATAAACGTGGGACTTTTTGCACTTGGTAATGTCATTAATGCGCTAGGCGATGATAAGCGTTTGTCAGCTTCGCACGTACATGTTCCGTACAGGTCTTCGAAGCTGACGCGCCTGCTTCAAGACGCACTTGGTGGAAACAGCAGAACGCTTTTCATGTGAGTAATTTCTTGACATTGCTCTCTGGACTGTTATTAATTTTATTTTTTGAAGTGCATGCGTGTCTCCTGCAGATTACAATACAAACGAAACCTTAAACACACTTCAATACGCTAATCGCGCCAAAAATATTCAAAATAAGGCTGTAAAGAATATTGACAAGCGCTCGACCGAAATAGTGAACTTGAAAGCCTTCAATCATATTCTTTGTCGCGAGTTTGTCAAGACAATCCTGAGTGAGAATGGTGTCACTGATGTTGATGCCCGAACGGAAGGTTGTATGACGAGCTCAAAGGTGTTAGCATATTTAGACAAGATTGCAGAGATTGCAGCGTCAGCAAATGTTGAGGCATCCAATGACGAGTGTTTAGTCATAATACAGCGTCTTCTGCGGCATCTTATGACATATCTGCACGAATTAGTGCCAAGTGGGAATTACCAGCATACACTCACCTTGGCGAGCTCAACCGGAGCTAAACACGATTGTTGTCAGCCGCCTGATGAACACATGGATCCTATAATCAATAGTGGCTCATCGATAGCCATTTTAGAGGACCAAATGCCAGATCTGGATGGAGCATTTATGGTGCCTTATCCATTTGAAAATTTGTGTCGCATTTTGGAGATCATAAACTGTGCGTTTGAAATGCAAGAAATTAAAAGCACTGGAAAGCAGCAGAACGATCGTTTAAAAGCTAAAATCAAACATTTCGAGATGCGGTATCATCGTCAATTGTTGTTGCGAAATGGGCTAGTAAGTACAATTGAAAGGATCCGCACATGGCTAGCTGAGCATGCATTGGATGAGACACCGGGAACCCAACTTACTATAACAAGGAGTTTGGAAGAAGCAATGGCAAACCTTAAGTCGGTGGACGTCGAGATGGAAGAATTACAGTTTCAAAAAGATGAGCTGACTCGTGAACAGGGAGAGCAGATAATACGCAGTCAGATTAAGTGGAAAAATAAGCAAATTCAGATCGAGCGAATAAGAGAGAATTCTGAGGTAGCCGCAACAAATGCGCTGGACATTATGACGCGTAGGACCGAGATAAAGGTAATGTGACATTCCTTTTTCATCTGTGCTTGAACTGACGGTTTTTGCAGGTTCGCTTTGATGGGTATGATTTAGATAGTATCTCGGATTTTCTAAAAGAGGAAGAAAAGGAAATAGCGGCTTTTTTGTACGAGGACAACGCAACCTTATCGCTGACAACGCCACTTTTTTCGCGAGAAGAGTTGTCACTGTCCCATACCCACGAGATCTGGTCGATGATTCAGGATCAACTTCAGGTTTCTTATTTGTTTATTGCCAGTATCTTCAAGTTGACTTATCTTTGGTGTTGGCTTGTCTTGTAGTATGCAAATGACAAAGAAACTTTAGAGGCCTCGATGAGCAAAGAGTTGCGAAAACGAACGCAATTGATTCAAAATATCACAACTGGGCTTAAAGCAAAGGATGGCGGGGAAATGACCGAACAAGAGTTTATGGAGAAGAATGAACAAAGTTTAAAGACTTGCGAAGATTGTATTTGTTACTTTCGAGACGCAATGCGCGCTAAGCAAAGCCAAAGGGCATCGATGGACAAAATATTGGACTCAATTAAGTCATTAGAGTTAGCAAAGGACGTGATTAAAAGGCTCATTGTGGAAAATTACTCGCAATGGAGGATGTACATGGTTTGTGACGAAGAGGAAAACATGAAGAGAAAGCGTGAAGCTGAGGAAATCGCGTTTCAGTCTTTGGAAACTGCTAAGATCGCTATGGACAAAAAAATTGAGAACCTTGAAGCAAAGTATCTGATGGATGTTCAGAGTGCTCGTCAAATGGTGATGAGTTTTAATGATGCAGTCGGATCAAGGACGGATCTTGAGCGTTTCACTAAAGTTCAAGAATTTTGCGACATATCTGCTTCGAACGAAAGCGAAAAGATTTCTGTCTGTCAGCTCGCTGAAAAGGGTGAGCAGCTAGCGATAATGCGAGAAAAATTGGACTGCTTACAAGCACCCGCAATGCACGTGGAGATGAAGGATGAGTTAAATAGCCTAATGAAAGTAGGTTATAGCTATCCGAGGCTGCATGTTTCTTGTTACTCTTTAATCTAATCAACTTTTGTACCTCAGAGATGCCAGGAGATCTGGAATGAACTGGGAGTCAACGAAAACGATCAGGCAAGCAGATTCCAGGACATGATTAATCATTTAGTGAAGAAGTGCTCTAAAGAACTTGAAGGACTTGAAGCCGCTCGAAATAAGCTTCATGCACGAATTAATGACACTTACCTTGTTGTTCACCAACTAGAAGCTGTCCTCCAGGATGTTGATCGTGTGGATATAGATTCGCTTTCATCTTTGGCTGGTCCGACACTGCTCGAGCAAGAAAAATATATATATTCGAGACAAAAACGTCTATCGCATGATTTTTGGCAACGAGTTAAGGCCTACCTTCATATATCTGATGGAATACGGGGGTTAATGGCTGATCTGCAAATCGAAACAATAGACGATTTTTCTCATGTTTCTTACGAAGACATTGGTTGGTTCGACGCGGAAGGTTTTAAACTGGCACCGGCAGAATTGCTCGCTTGTAGACAGTTTCAAGAGAATGAGGATGATCCAGACGCAATGACAAAAGCACTGGAAAGTATAGGCGATGGCGCTAGAATCTCTAAATTAGCAGAACATCGAAATGAAGTTTTGTTTGAAGCGTTGCTTACAGAAAAAACCAAGCGGATCGTTGAGCTACAAAATTTGTCTGAGGCAATTCGAACAGTGGCTCAAAGCTCTTCCTTATCTCGACGTGATATTATTTCTGTGATCAATGCATTGCACTGTGCTGATGGCGAACATGTTTCTGAAGATACAAACGAGACGAATGAGGTTATAGATTTGTCTGCTTGGATATTCCAGACTGGTGGACATCTTGACGTGAGTAAGAAGACAAAAGAAATTCTTTCTGAGTTACTGAAAGAATTTCAAAAGATTGAAGCAGGACGGTTGGCTGCTCTTGAGTTTCTTCGTCGAACTAAAGAGGAAGCGGCAATATTGCTTCGAGACAAACGATTTGTTGATAGCGTAGACGACCAAATGTCACATTTCCTGATGGAAGATTTGCAACGGAATGAAAATTTTATGGACATCCTTGATGCTGGAAAGAAAATGTTGGTTGGTCTGAAAGAGCCTGTCAAAAACGTGCTGTGCAGCTTGTTGTCTACGACAAACGATGCTTTTGCAGCATTCGGCATCGATACCAAAGAGCACCAAGCGAGTTTTTATTTGGGCTCCAAAGACGAAGGACAGAGGGCACGACGTGCTCTACTCGAAAAGTATGCAATGCATTCGACAAGTTTAATGCCTGCGTCGGAGGATAAAAAGGAGGGTATAGAACACTGCAACGACTCATTGCTGTCCAATCTTGATCCTGCATTTGGCCAGTATTGCTGGGTTTGTTCGATTTCGTACGGAAAGATTCAATTGCAAGAGCTTCGTGACTCAATTGCAGATATTGACGAAATCCAATGCATGGTCAAAAGTACGCAAAAAAGAATTGACTCATTGCAGAAAATAATGAAGATTTATACCAAAATCAACGAGTTCAAAGCCAAGATTGCCGAATTTGAAACTAGCGCAAGTCAGAAAGAGCGCTTATTTGGAAACTCTTTGAGATTACTCGAAGAGGAAAGATTCCGTAAAATGGCCGCCAAGCATTACCCAAATCTACTCGCTTCGTTGCGCAAAGAAGTTACGCGCTGGCTTCAAAATGAAGACGGCGAATTTAATCTCAGTGTGCTAGGCGAAGACCTAAAAAAGTTTATCTTGGAAATGATGAACACTGACACTGGTCTGATGCATCTTGACTTGAGTACTGTGCGCCGTTCTGCAAAGCACCCACTGACTTCAAGTTCGAGCACTTCCAACCTTCAGATATCTTCCAAAGGCAGTGCTCGCGCACGCACGCAGTCTGCACACGTTTTGAACTTAGAAACATGATTAAACGATCCAACCTCTGTATTTATTTAATCATACATCTTTGACGAGATGTCCCGACGCCTATAATAAATCTAAGTAAGCTTGGCGCTTTGTACTTGATACTTTCGATACTTGCTGGAAAGCTCCCATCCAAGACCAATGTTTACAATAGCAACCCCAAACCATGACATAAGACTAAGCTCATGTCCATACCAGACAACAGAGAATAAAATCGTGAAAAACTTGCGGGTGGTTGTAATTGTTGTGCATGTGAGGGCCGAAAACTGCTGGATGGTGAAATAAATGAAGTTTTGGCCTAATGCACTGCAGATGGAGAAATAGAAGACCGAGTTGAGTATAGCAGGGTTATTTATACAAAAATACAATCCTTCCAGTGCCTGACCAGTGACCAAAGCACCAATTCCCGTGTAAACGACAGCCCAGATGTTCGTGTTGAACATCTGCTGGTGAACAGAGGGACGTAGTTGGTGTGCAATCTCTTCTTGCTTCGGACCCGAAATACCATCTAATGTGAGCGATAGAAAGAGTAATAACAGTCCATACGTGCTATTCTCACGCTCTGCATGTTTAGCCGAGCTTTTGCCAAGTTGAAAGACAGCAATACCCGAAGTGATGACCAATACACAAATATAATCACGGAGCGTATACTTCTTCCGACGAATGAGCACGCCCATGAGCATCACCGGAATCATTTTGCACGACTTACCCAAAGCTTGAGTAGGGAAGCTCACGTGCTTAAGAGCTTCATTACTGCATAGCATAGCACCCAAGTAGGCACCAGCTGTCAATGCAAATGGTGCCAAAGGCATGCGAGCGCGTTCAGGTTTCCAAACGAATGTAGCGGCGTAAGCAACGATCGAGTTAGTGACACACTGTACGAAGAGCATGAAAAGAGTCGATGTAAACTTATCGCCATTTGGAGAACGGTATGTGAAGCTGAGAATTGCGTCGTTAAAATTTTATATATGAAGGTGATAGCAGTCAAGTATTACGTACATTTTCTCCTGAAAAATGCCATAGCTAAGATAACACGTGTAGATGCCGGCGATACATACGAGCAGATTGAAAATGCTTGAATCATGCGGGCTTGACGCGTGCAATACAGTTCGTCCCATGATGCTACTGAGTTGTAGAGTGAGGTGAAGCGCCACGTGTGCAGTGAAGTGATTGAATTTCGGGAATATTCGGTAAAATATCTAATTTGCAATATTCTTGAAATTTCGTTTATAAGTTAGGTTAGAATTTAACAGTTGGCAAGCTTAAAAGCAAGGTAATTTAATTTCCGCTTCATTCGGCTAACAAAGCATAAGCTGCAGACACAGATCACAATGAATTTCGTGTTCGCTTGTTGCTGTCATTGATGTTCATGCCAAATGTCGCCATTATCTCAAGTAAAGTCGCCACATGATCGTCTGATTCAGTACTTATTGCAGAGAAAATTGCTCCAATAGTCATTTAGTGTAATTTATCATAGCGATGAAGGCAAAATGAAAAGCTACGTAAGTTTAAAATTTCTTGTATGATCATAGTAACCATACAGAGAAGTATGATGTGTGTGATTAGCACAGCAGGACAAAAATGACTCTCAAAACACTTCTGTTTAAGTCAATGAACGTTATTTGCTCATCAACCCACTTCTGACTATATCGATTCATATTCGGGAAAATAAAAAACCTACCTGATAAACAGAAAAATATTGACAATATACCAGATATTTATAAACATAAAAAATAAATACCAGGTAATTAAATGTACCATTTATAAATAATGCATCCTGTAACACTGTACCTACCAGCAACTTACCACGGTAACCTAACCTAGGCCATACCAACCAGCAATTGCTTAATGAAGTCTAACATTGACTTCGCATCTTGTGTACATCTGTGCTCTCAAGATGCGATCAAATGACAGCCAAAAGCTAATTGTAGTAGGAATCCCTAAAAGTCTGGATGATGCACAGCTATCTGAACTATTTAGCAAATTTGGCGCCGTGGCCGAGGCCAAAGTGGTGCTGGATGCCTCCAAAATGTCGCGAGGCTTTGGCTTCGTGACGTTCACGGCCGCCTCATCCATGCGCGCAGCAATCAAGGGCATGAACAAGAAAGTGGTGCAAGGTCGCACTCTAAATGTGCGTCAATTAGTACCAAAGGACGAATTTCAATCGCAAAAGAAAGAGGTGCCTGACGCAAGTAAGCGACCGTGCTGGCTTTTGCGCAAGGGAAAATGCATGAAAGGCGCTAATTGTCCGTTCTCGCATACTATCGAAAGTGGTGAATTTGGCAACTGCTTTGAGTTTGTACAGACTGGCGGGTGCAAACGTGGTGATCAGTGCAAATTCTCCCATCCTCAAAAGGAGGAAAATGAAAAGGAGACGAACGAAGATAATATAGATGTCAAAATTGTGGGCAAACGCTTGTGCTATAGTTTTCAGAATGGACGATGCCATCGAGGTAAAACGTGCATGTTTCTTCATGAGCTGCTGACGAATAAAAACATAAAAGAAAACTTAAAAGAGACGACGCAGCCGCTTAAACAGTCGCTAAATCAGAGCAACTTGGGTCAAAAGCGAAGACGGATGCAGGATGACAAGGAGACCGCCGAAGAGCCATTGAAGCTAGAAGAGCCGGATGTTGGCAGTCCAGCCGTGCAGGAAACAACCATAACGAATCAAGAGCAGCAAAAGTTTAAGCAGATCAAAGAAAAAACCGTTAGATTGAAGAAGTTTGAGTGGAAGGCCAAGCAACAAGTCATGAAGATGGATTCACGGGATTTCTTGGATAAAAACGATGATTCACCGGATAACGATGACGAGAAGCAGGAAGTGGAGCAACGTCCGATCAAGAAGATGAAGAAGGAAAAAATTGACATGGGTGCAGCATTTGACAATATTTCGGATGGTGAGTTTGATTCTGCTTGTGATGGCAAGAAAGAGATAGTAAACAAGGAGACGATGCGTGCGAATCGAGAAAAGATGAAGCAGAATAGACGATCGAAGCGCAAAGCTAAAAAGACGGCACTAATGAAACTGAAGACAAAGAACGCGATTGAGCTATAATCTTCGGCATTCCCAATTGGAAGAGCCTTTGAATCGATGGCTGAAGCATCGATTTCCTTAGTTGCTTTCTCTTTACCATCTCGACACTAAGCGGAATGTTGATGTTTTGTCAACATACATTTCTTTATTGATTCAGCGATAAATAGAAACAGCTATGTTTTTCGTGACTTTTTGTTTCCTATTTCTTTTTGAGATAAATTGAAAGCTCTCGCAAAATTTGTATACTTAACACAATCTAAATATATCACTCAATTTTGGCATATTTCTGTTCGTAGTACAATTTTAAGAAATATATATATTAGTATGATAGCAGCTCGAAATATTAAAATACTGAAAGAGCAAATATCAAAAGAGCAAAAGGGTATAGGATAAAAAAACTAAAAGATATTAATATGAAGACGGGATATGACAGGGTACATTCATGAGATTGTTGCTTCTTGGAAAAGTCAGAAAAGGCTAGGTAAGGAAGCATCATAATTTGTACTAGCTACTGGTAAGGCCAATGGCACCTCGTCAAGGAGATGTTTGTGGGACACTTGGGCTGCCTGCAATGCTTGATGCAATTTAAGGGCTTTATATCACAAATGGTAAGCCGAACATTTGAACATGACAGACATGCTAGACCCTAGGGTACCACTTTAAGTTACTCGTGATTCGGGATTTTTAATCCTGGATTAGAGCTTTTGAGCTCAAATAAAAGCAATTTGGCACCTGGGCTGTGGCCGACAGACCTATTTTCTGTACAGTAATCAATGGCGAAATGCGCGGCAAATTTGTTGCACCAGTGAGATTAGTCGTCAATTCGACGAATAAGACTGTATCTGTAACGGGGTTACACGTGCCCTTGTAAAAAAGGACGGTTGTGCGACCGTACATAAGTATGTATTACACAGTTAGTGTAATAACACAGTGGTGTGGCCACACCATAACAAGAAGCCAGTCGTCATGCATATTTTTATATTACTTAGGTTTTGCTATATTAATAAGATTTTTGTTTGATTAATTAGGTATAACTATTTTAATTAGGAAAACCTAGACTTTTAGATATTGGCTCTGCCGCAACTTCAACAATTAAATGTAGATTTGTTTTTGAACAGAAGTGTTCGTTTGCTTTGGGAAGGTTGAAGTACTTAGAAGTAGCGGAATGCGATCCAATACAATTTTACTGGTTCTTGGAAAGAATGTAAGATCGGTGACCTTACCTTAGCTTCCTCTAAGCATAGAGCTACGGCAGCCCTGCTGCACTTGGTAGCACTCGTAGTCAATTAAGCTTGAGTCATTACGATTGATCCTCTGCGAGGGTGGAGAAATACTTCTATTTGCCCCGGTGCATGCAGGACGGGCTTAATAAGCTGATGTCCCTAATGACTGGAGCGCCTCGTTGTCTAGTGGCATCAATGGCGAGGCCCTTGTGATGCGCTTGGAGTGGTACGAAACCCACTGAGCACTGCCCAAGTATCAAAGCAGTTGCTGCATGCCAAGAGTGACATGGTCGGACGAGGTCCGAGGAATCGAGGGTGAGGCCCTTCAGATGCGCGTGGAGTGGCACGTTATCCACTGGACGAAGACAGTGGAAATAGCAGCTCTTCGTCGGATGTTGTCAATAATATCAAGGCTCCAATGGAGCAGGGAGTGGGGACACTGGACGACGCCGAGTGCGGTTCGCACTGGTTTATAGAGAGGAGACGGCGGTGCCGTGTGATATCTGTAAGACGCAGGGTGTCGACCCTGACCCATGTTGTGTCTACCGTAGACTATAGCACATAGTTATATACCTTTGTCTACAGTATGACGGGCGAGAAAGACGGTGGCGTCAACCTCGAGGCTATTCCCCGGGTTATGCTCTACTTGAGCTGGACGAAATGTCTTTCGAGTAGTTTGGCGGCGCCTTGTAGGCAGGCAATTTAGCCGAGGTGAACATGAAATGATCTAGAGAGGAGATTCACTCGTCGTCCATGAACTGAATTGTCGATCCTGAATGAACCCTGCGATCCGTACTATCATTTGGTAAAGGAACTCAAGGCGTTGTCTCCATAGACCCGCGGCCGGTCTTATCTCCGGACCGAGGTGTGCGTCATGAGATCAGGAGCCAACTAATGCGTACCATGCCAATGGCTCTTGCCCAAAGAGCAGTGTGACGTCATTGACGCTTTTTTTTCGTGCAAAGCACAACGCAGGAATTGTGCTTGAGATTAAGTCTTTCCATTCGACACCCACGTTTTGTGTCCGGAGGCCGAACGGCAAGTGGCGCATCGTTCACTAAGAAAAGCTAAGCGCTGCCACCATTCCGGCACAAAAGCTAACTCCTAGAAAGGATGTTCTCCATAACAATATGGCTAGTTGTACAAAGTACAGCGCACTCGATCGATGATTATTACCAATTGATCATAGGAGCTAGTGAGATTTCGCTGACAGCGGTAAGTACTCCGAGTGGGATGCTCTGGGAATGGCTGGTGATGCATTAAAGGCTTTTTAAATGCACCAGCAACATTTAATCGTCTTGTGACGCATTTGTTTAGACCCCTTCGGGCGTCATACTCTTTCGACATCTTTGTACAGCCGTGCGGGGCACAGAAACCAAGGGCCTTGACCTTAGCGGGATTCACTTGAATGCCGCGCTTTCCAATAAAGCACCTAAATATACTTCTTCCGCGCCGAAGATGCACTTATCGGCAATAGCACAAAGCCTTTTGCGCACTTGCTCACAAAATCATCCCGATGCTCGGTGTCCCAAAACCATTGCGCATCCTCCTTAATGGGATTCCACAATAGCCGTGGCATTTCCGCATAATTCGCGCTATACTTGTGCAAGTAGTTGGCAAAGCCAAGCCACTTGCGCAAGTCTTATTGGCTCTTTGAAACCGGCGAGTCCGAAATGGCCTTGACCATAGCGGGTTCCGCTCGAAGGCCACGCTTCCTAATGAAGCACCCTAAAAAGGGGATTTCTTTAGCGCTAAGAATGCACTTATCTGCATTATCATACAGCTTATTCGTGCGCATGCACTCGAGCACCGCTTTCGAATGGACAATGTGGTTTTCCTCACCTGTCGTCCCGTGCCCTGCACGACTGTGGACAATGATGTCGTCGAAGTATGTTTGTGCATACGCCCAATGAAGCCTGAAAAACTGCGTCACAAGACGATTAAATGTCGATGGTGCATTTGACAGCCCTTGGGACATCACCAGCCACTCTCAGAGAATCCCGCTCGGAGAACTCACCGCTGTCAGCGGAATATTACTCGCCGTCATAAGCAATTTATATTACCCATCGACCAAGTCGAGTGCACTGTACTTTGTACAATTAGCCATATTGTTATGGAGAACATCATTCCTAGGATCGGCGTTTGTGCCGGATTGTTGGTAGCGCTTAGCTTATTGTAAGCGTGAACGATGCGCCACTTGCCGTTCGGCTTCCGGACACAAAACTTGGGTGTCGAATGGAAAGACTTAATTTTACGTACCATTCCTGCGTCGTGCTTCGCACGTCAACGATGTCACACTGCTCTTTGAGCAGGAGCCATTGGCGTGGTACGCAGTATTTGGCTCCCGATTTCATGACGCACACCTCGGTTCGGAGGCAAGACCGACGGCGCGTCTGTGAAGACGACGTCTTAAAATTCTTTTACCAAAGGAAAGTATGGATCCGAGGAATCCTTCAGAATCGACGATCCTTTTCGTGCGTTCAGTATTCTCTTGGTGCCCTCCAGGACAGTTCATCCCGAAGCGACGACAAGTTAATGTCCTCGTTCGGTCTTATCATGACAAACTCGGCTAAATTGCCTGCCTACTAGGCTGCCAAACTCTTCGAAGGACATCTCGTGTAGCTGAAGAGGAGCATCCACCGCGAATATAGCCTCGAGGGTAACGTCGCCGTCTTCCTCTTCCGTCATATCGCTGACAAAAGTGTATGCATGTGCGCTATCGCCTACGGTAGACGCATCCTGCGCCAGGGTCGACGCCCTGCGTCTTGCAGATAAAATGCGGCATCGCCGTCTCCTCTCTATAAAGGTTTTAATTCTCTTTAATACCAGCGGAGACACGCACTCGGCGTCGTCCAGTGTCACCACTTCCTGCTCCACCGGAGCCTTGATGTTATAAACAGCATCCGCCAACGAGCAGCTAGCTCTGCAGTCTTCGATCAGTGAACAACGTACCGCTCCACGCGCATCTGAATGGCCTTACCAAAGATGCCTCTGACCTCGTCCGACAACATACCGCTATTAGCATTCAGCAACTGCTTTGATACTTGAGCAGTGCTCAGTGGGTTACGTGCCACTCCATTTGCAACACTGGGGTCTCCCTTTGATGCCTCGGCAGTTGGCCGTCCTTGCCACTCTTGGCATGCAGCAACAGTCGGGCTGTTCTTCGACGAAGGAGTTCACTAATTCGACTTGCCGGTGGCCATTGTATTCGATCAATATTCGCGCTTTGCAAGCAAAGTTCTGGCAAAATTAGTTTATAATGCTGAACACCAATCAGAAAACATCCATTGCTAACCTTTCACAGGCAGATGATCAGCCGGAACACGTCTGCACGTTGTAAACAAAATTTCTGAGGCACTTTTTCGGAGGAACTGTGGTGCTATTGCGACATGCTCTTACTGAAGTAATCCACGTTGAAATGTGGATCACGATTTAAGATTTGTACAAGGTATTTGACAATCTTAAGCAAACTTAAATGACGGTTGTCGTGTTGTCGATAACTCAAAAGAAGAGTTTCGACCTCCTTGTAATATATCACGCCACCGAGTGACTCCGGTCTTTTAAGGGAACGAGCTTTCGGTACGATACAACCCACGGATACGATCCCGGCTGTACTTCTTAATATTATTACCTGATGGGACCGTGATAGCCTAGAGCGTCATGCACCGAGTACGCGATGCTATGGCTGATGGTCAGAATGTGTAAAAGCACCACACACAAAAATGTAACAGTTGCAAATATATTGACCGCGTGGTAGCTTACTCCACATGCAGTGTCAACAGTCTATGACCCCGCTACATCGGTCCGTTGCAAACTAAGCCGCAACGGATTTACTACACCCTCAATAAAAGAGTCGAACACAACCCGTATTCTTCGTGGGCTTTTTGAAATTATAATACTATCCTGCTTTTACGAGCCACTGGGTATAAAGCTTTCTGTTGAAGTCGGACTATCTTCGCCCTAGAGAAGTAATGAGCCGACCCTGAGCTCATGTGGTCGTCATGGAGGTACGTGCTTTGGTATCCACAGGATCCGAACCAATGCAACCGGAGACAGATCACTAAATGTGGCCGAACAATCACAATGGCTAACCTACCAAAATGAGTGTGTGATAGTTGGGTGGGCTGGAGGCCCAACTGACCGAAAATTCCCCATAATGTAACGAGCGGTACGGAATTAGGTCCCAATAAGGGTTGGGTATCGACCGGCATCCCACACAAGAGAAAGCTTAATCTTAGCCTATGGGTTACGGTAGCTTTGAGATCTAGATGCTTATAAAATGCCTTACACAACCTTGTACAATAGCATAGCTCAGAGAGCGCGTCAGAAAACATGCCCATTTTAAAATTGCTCACAACCAAGCCTCCCAGATAGAGTCGACGTCAAAAGAGTTCGCAATAGCAGGCTACGGAATGATCGCCCTTCTCTGGCACTGCTCGACGAGCGAGAGGAGTGTCCACTTCCATGTGAAATGGATAGTGGCCTTCCGA